TTCTAGATCCAGATAAGAAAGAAAAACGACGTCGGTCTTCAGAAGCAAGTGGTGGTATTGGCTTGGGTGAAAGGATGAGATTAATAGCAACTCGAAGAGGATCCGACACTCGGACACATTCAGCACTTCGTAAAACAGATACTGCCTTCAGTTTTCCTATCAACGGAATCATGATGAGTCCACCGTCACCAAGAACCCCGAAAGGCGTCTTGAAGTTGGTTTCATATTGTCCAGAATCATCATCAAGTAAAAAAGTAAACTTACCAATTTATAGATCTCCAGAATCTCCACGTCAAAGCACGCAAGTCGATGTTGCTTCCATCCAAGCCATACAAAATCTTCGCACCGAGCTCAATCATAAACTTGATCTTCTAATCACTAGCATAGCAGCAGGAGCAACCGCTAAAGACGCTAAGAACAGCGATGAGAACAGTAATCTCACGCCTTCACCTAAAAGAAATAGCAAGGTTAACTTTAGCGATAGCGATGTCAAATGATTGAGGTTCATTGTATTGAACATTTCGCTTGTACAAACATATATTTATTATCAAATTATATATCTAAGACTTTTTGTTGCAATAGTTTGCTGCTCAATCCCCCCATGTAGCCTCTACAAGTTATGTGACTCATTTCATGAACCACCTGATAAGTTTAGTTTCTAATCATCTCGGCTCGATGGCAACGCCACAGTCCCTGCATTTATTTGTTATTGTTTTTTTGTTAGTCAGCAGGAACATGCTCATTGAAGCTCTCATTTGATCTCTGCTGTTTGTATTCTTGCACTCTATGGGTACTTTATTTGTCTTGATAATTTAGCGCAGATGATAAAAAATAGTACAAATTCCAGTATTGGTGTACGGCTCACCGATGCGAGCTATTCCACTATACATACAGGCGGGAGCGCCGCATGCAACTGCTGCACTTTGCGCTACTGTATTTGCACCATCTAATCGCTTTGAAAAGCTGATTTGGAGTGTCCACTCATTTTTCTGAGCATTCCCTCTCAACTACGATAGTTGTGCCTCTCAGCTCAGCCGGCAAGCTGCCATGGAAGATATTTTGCGAGAGCAGTATAAATTTGTATGTCTGCACTGAGACGCGCAATAACGCGAAAATCGTTTGTCCGATGTAGGAGTTTAATACCGGCGTATAGGGGAAAACAACGTCCATTAAAAGACTTAACGCTTAAGCGGTTAATCGGGTGATCTTGAGGGTCGTGCATTGAGAGAGCTTGGGTGATTGTCGACAGTTTGGGATGAAGCATGTTTGCCTCATGTATCTTCATATTTAGTAACC